TGTGTGTGTGTCTGTTGATTAAGTGGTGTGTAGCTAAAAACATTCTCACGACCTCTAGTAACATGTTGTGATATTAAACACAAGAACATATTATGGCTAAGGCTACAGTTATACACGTCATTATAATAATATTAACACCCTGTCTGCTGACAGTCATCAACATTTCTCTCTAGTTATCCTTGACCAGATGTACCCTGTAGAAACTCATAAGCATGACTAAGCATTTAACAGTCTAACTAGACATCCTATCTCCACTAAACATTTCTAATACATAAAGTATCTATCCAATTTCTATCTGACTAAAAATACCTAACAGAAGTTACAGCATTCAAAGTAAGCAGATTCTACTTCATTATAGCTTTAAGATATATAAGCAAGGGAAACAAATGCAATAAAATAACCAAAGCTCAGTAGTTCTGGACAATCATCAATACAGCTGTAATATGCATAAACAAGTAAGATAAAGTTATGAAAGGTAACTAAAGGTATGAGAAGTAACTAAAGCTGATAAAGTAACTAGAGTCTGTAAGACATTCTGACCTACCAATCAAAAACAAAACAAAACAAAACAAAAGCCATGCAAAACATCTGAATGCCACAAGATGGAGCCAGAGAATAGTGCAGGAAGAAGAGAACCAGTCAAGCAACTGGTGAATCTGTCCATTAGAACCTGATGATGGCGTACAGTGGAGAATGTGTTAGGTGTGCCATTTGTGTCGATTCCTGTGAATATTTTTTGTCCTATAGTGAAATGAAATGCATGGACTATTATTAGATAAACCTTTTAAGAATATGGTGATTAAAGCTGCCTGCTGTGACTGGAAGTTGATGAGTGAGGCAAAACATGCAAAAACACTACACAGAGAAATGTCAGAAATGCACAGTAATTGTCTGTGGTTTTGTCCTTTGATGTTACACATTGTTGTTTGATCCTTTGTTAATATAAAAAAAACAGTGGATTAGTTTGAATTTCTCTGTTTTGCACTTAGAAAAATGATTTTGTGTGCAAACTTATGTGTGCAACAGAAAAAGCTTGATATTTTCTTTGACGGGTGCAGCAGGATCCCTTTCAAGCTCAGTCAGGCAGAAAAACATATTCCTCTCTGTGCCCTATGTGCCTGTTACCCTCAACACTAGCTCCCCCCTCTTTATCCAGTACCCCTTATTCACAGCTTACATCATTTGCTTACACCCCCCCCTCATCCCTGCTGATTTTCTATACATTCCCCGCATCACAACTCTCCCTCCCAGGAAAAGAAAGCCTCCATCACTCTCTTCTGGCCCTCCCTGCAAAGCCGCAAGGCCCTCTCACCCATTTTCCCCTCTCAGCACCTCAGACCACCCCCTACTGCTGCCACACAAACTCCCAGCCTTTCCTTTTTGCATTATTTCACCATGGTCCCTATTGTCCTAGCAAAGAGGGACAAGGGGCAGAGGAAAAAAGAGGGGTGGAGGAGAGAGCACTAGAGAAGAAAATGTGCCCTCTCTGTTCCCTGGGCAGGAGGGGTCCACCCACATCTGGGTGTGGAAATTCCGTTGAGGTTTCCTGCTTTTTCTCCTGTCTTTTACTCCTCTCATTTGTCTCATATTTTTGTTTTCTCCTGGCATCATGTGCTTTCCTAACTCTTCAAACTGTGAAATTACACCAAGCATGTCTGGTGTTAAAATACAGGAAGAAAGAACTATAGATGAACTATTAATGATTAAAAAAAATACAAACTACATCATTAGGAGCAAGAAAATAACTAGAACTAACAGCAGTCTAATGGCTACATACTGTATGTTTAGGTATAGTAAATCAAATTCAACAGAGCAAAATGATCTAAAGTTATGCTTTTATCCTGAAGTTTTTTTTTTCATCTGTTCTTCAGTGTTAACATCTGAAATTTAGGAGTACAACTCCATCATCTAAATAGTGGAATCAAATGTGCTTTTGTTTATCATGAAAAAACCATAAACTTAACTATAAGGCAATCTGAGTTTTGTTCACATTCTCTGATTTGCTACTGTAGTAACTGCATATTTTTGCTGTAGGGCAGAAACCTACTATGTCCATATTTTGCCATTTTTATTTTTTTTTTTTATAAATAAATGCTATTGATCACCCTTTACATCTGTCTGTGGATTTTACAAACATTTAAGCAATGAAAAGCATTAAGAAGGGCTTGTGACTAAATCTCATAACTCCATTGGATCCTGAAACTGTCGGCAAAACCTCATATGAGCTTGATTTAGGTAACAAATTTTATAATATAATGACATACAGGTAAGTGACACAGTACCAAATTTAACAATGTGATGTTGAATTATTTCAGATGCACTGGGTTTTTTCATTTCCTGAAAAGTAACAGTTTTGGAGATGGAATATTAGGACCCTTAATAAAGCAACATTAGCATTCATTTAGAGCCACCAGTCTGGCTACCCAGCCACCTTAAGCCCAAAATTCACAGTCCTTTTACCTTTGGTTTTTTTTGTCCACAAACTCCTGAAAGAATATCCAGCTTTATAGCTCTTTACTACTGTAGCTCATTTTGCATGGTGTTTGATGCTGGGTAGCTGCAGGGTGCTGCTGGAAACAATGGACGAGCACAATGCTAGTGGCCCAAAACATTAAGGTAGTGAGCTATATAAAAAATATAGATTACAGCAGCTTTAAATATGGGGTAAATATGAATTTACCCCAAACCCAGGAAGAGGTATAAATGCTGATACAGCACTGGGTTCATCTACCAGTTCTTTATTTCTCTGCCATCTCTCCCATCCACTTCCTTCTTCAATCCGCCTCTCACCAGCTTTCGTGTACAGGCTGTGATCTGCATACATAACAAGCTTAGAGCCTGCCATAGCTCATGCATGTCACACCTGTTGTCTAATAGATGAGCTTTTTTCCTCCAATCATTCTTCCTTATTAGTATGGAAACCACGTTAAAGCCCCAGTAGTTGCAAAGAGCTAATGTCATTGATTACAGATGGCAAACCTGCATCTCACTGGATCCAAACATCTGCACCACAATCCCTTCTGAAACCTCTAGCTGCCAGTTTATTTTAATCAATCTCCTATATTGTTAACTTAACTGTTGTATAATGTCCATGGAGAATAATTGTTGGATAACTGTTTCAGATTTGTTAGCAGGTATCAGGTAAATGCAGGGACCCATGGTAACAGTAGTTCTGTTTCATGGCACGTTGTCATTTTGTTCTTACTTATAAAACAAATTTAACTGTGGGTTAATCTCACTAGAGATTAACTTAAAAAGGTGACAGTTTGAAAAAATAAATGGCAGTGGAGAAAGTGTGATAAGACAACCTCAGATGTCCTCATATGGAAACAATGGATGCAGCTGCATTCTCACACATACAGTAGACATATGTGATTCCACCCAACTCGGAGGGTTTTAGAGTCTTTCAACTTGTTGTTTTGGCCTTAACCTTTGTTGTTTTGGTTTGGTGTCATCGCCCTCATCAGCACTGTTTCCAGATGCAGCAGGCAGCTGTTTTCAGAAAAAAACTCAGATAAACTCACTGCACATGCACACTACCTGCCCAGCAATAAACGGCAATGATGGCTAGCCAATGAACTTAGGGGAGCATGCATTAGCTAAAGAGCCAGAGTTGGTATTTACAGATTGTTGCACTGCCTCCGTGGGGCCAAAGAAATGTTTTTATGCCATTTTAAGGTGTGCTGATAGTAGAGCAAGTTCTAGCTTTAACAAACTTCTTCTCATCAAGTCTGTATGAATCTTTAAACTGAGCACTCACATTTACAAATCATCACAAAAGGCAGATACAGTAATGCTGTGAGAACTCTGTAGTGACAGTAAGGTGAGGATGACACATTACTTATATCACAAGGCCTTTCTGTAAATGCAGATGATTGAAGCACCAAGGTCACCTCAGATCCTCATCTATCATCTTTAATTAGCCATGTCCAATCTACAGGGAAAGCTGTCTGAGAACACATACACATTTTATTCATTTCCATTCAGCTTTAAAGCACACATGGTGCGTTACTCTTGCTTGACACTCAAAACATTCACATGGATGAACAATGGTGTGTTGCATATTAAGAGTTACCAAGTGTGCATTGGATTTCCCCCTTCAGTCAGACTGTATTCATGGATTTTTTCAACTGTCACATTTACACTATGATTGCTACCTTTCTGCACATTGAATGCAGAATGCATTGAATGTCATTAATGACATACCACACTCCACTTATGTAGGTGAATAATAGGATATAGTATGTAAATTGTGAGACATGAATGACAAATATTTAGAGACTTTAACATATGTTGGCACAAAGGCACGCAACTATACTATGCACAAAAACATGCTCCCCATAATGAAAGCAAAAATATAATTACGTTAAAAAACTTGCTGTTCAACAATTAAGTGCTTTTGCGGCTGAGGTCTTATACAGGGTGGGCCCGCCTCCAATACTGGTGCCAGACTCTTGAGTACACGAACTACTTTTCCGTGGCCCACCCTGTGGTTGTATAGTTCTTTTCTGTGCATTGCAGCACAGTCAAAGCACTTTCACTTGCTCAAGGAAACTTCCACATGTGCACTGGAGAGGCTGGGAATTAAACTGCCATCCTTCCAGTTAGGAAACGACCTGCTCTACCTCCTGAGCCACCCCCCACCCCCACCCCAACAATAAAAAGACAGTGGAAGGGTCCTGGGCAGGGTCAGCCAAGAAACTATTGATAGAATCCATTGTTTTCTTTTTTCAAAGAAATAATTTTTGATCTTCACAATCTACCATAATCTGGGACTTTCCGTGTGCTGGAGCCAGTGGCCTGTACAAGTGGAGGACAACAGTATGAAGTCATATTCACACACACACACACACACACACACACATAGACTGAATTCTTAGTATTATCCAGGGGGACGCTGCTCTGCTTCACAGTGTCCTCAAGACACCAGCCAAACTAGAGACAGCATAAGTAGTCCTTTTAATAACACAGGAATATGTGTAAAAGTGCAGGAGGGTATCTTAATTTAGAAGTGGAAGACTGTTCTTAGAATTATAGCACAATACTGAAGCTGTTTTGATTAGCGGGAGTAGAAGCAACATAACTTCACAGCAGGGAAAAAGCAGAGAAGGTGAAAAAAACAACTGTACTCATCAGAACTGCAACTCATTTTCTTACTTGATCTGCTGATTATTTTCTCTACTAATGAATAAAAACATGGATCTTACAGTTTCCCAGATCTCAAGGTGATGTACTTAAATGGCTGGAACCAGGAAATGTTTGACGTCTTTACCGAGGAAAAAAATGACTCCAACAATTCATTGTTGATTAAGTTTCTGCCAAATAAGTAATCTAATAACTGACCATCATTTTATCTCTAATAGTGTATAATTCTGAATCTATGTTTGTTTTAAGCAAAACGTACACTTTTGACACACCAATAAACCACATCTCTGCAGATCACTGACTATTTACATATCTTATTTATTTAAACAGATTTGTATTATTTTCTTTTCAAGGTCTATCATGTGTTATAATGTTTAATAATATATTTTGTTGTTTGCCCTCAGTTAAGTAATATATTTGTAGTATTGCAAAGCAAAATGAGAAATTAAAGGAATTAAAATGTTCTTTTAAAACCTTCACTGCTGTTAAATGAAGCCTGCAGATTTGAAAGATGTTTTTGTTTGTACATTAACAAGAGTAATTCAGTTTTTTCTATGGCATGCAACCAGCTTTAAACAAACTTTGTACTGTCTCTAAAATGTGTCATTCCTATCACCCCCTTATCACATTAACGTATGGTGGTCTTTACTAGTGTGGAAAGTCAGAATAGTGGACTGCATCCTAGGTGCTGAGCACACGTATTTGCAGACATTATGTCGAATCTTAATCCAATTATTTTACATAAAAACCTGACAAGACATTGAATTCAAAGTAGGAGCAGCAGCCACCTAGTCCTGTTCTTACAGTGGCAAAGGGGAAACTAGTCTGTTATCTCACCAAGGTAAAAGTAAAGGTGGTAAAAATAGCAAGGAGAGTCAAGGTCAGATATGTTATTAAGGTGATCTTGTCTGCATTCACCAGTGGGACTGATCCAAACAGGGGAGAGGGCTACATCACAGGAAGGACTGCAGAGCTACTGTTCAGGTAATGATATTTCCTTGGGCTGGGAGTTTGCAGATTGTTTCTATATTTGGGAAATTGGGGGACCATAGAAGCAAAGATATAGGAAATATTGTGGTTTAACTATTGTGCTTCAACCTTGGCACAAAGCACAATGGCGCTTTAACCCTGGTCAGTGATGTCAGTGATGCCAGTTGACAAAATGTTTCAAACTCTGTCAAAGGTGAGTCTTTTCATCCAGGAGGCTGGAAACAAGATGAGTTGCTTTGTGCTTGAGCAGGCTGGGTCAGAGATTAATAAGTCAAAAGCCTTAAAGTGAAATTGGGTTTACAACAACTTGGGTCTTACTTGTGTAGTTTTGACAACCTAATACCCCAAGGAATTATTTCCATATTGGGCATCCTGTATCTCACAGTCAGTGTCCAGTGCTATCATTTATTGCCATCACAGGAAGCAGTGAGCACAATATAGAAGAGAATAAGGGTTCAGAAGCTGGGGTAGTGATGAACATGTAGTAACTTTAATATGGGCGATCAGAGTTTGCTTTGAGATGCAGACTATGACAATGCCCAGTGTCAGTTGTTATCACATCACAGTGATGCTTCAGAAGGGGCAAACTGCACCTATCAGTAGGCCAGAAGTCATATCATCAATCCCAACCTTTACCAACAATGACTGTTACCCTACTTTAACCAACTAGTTATTGTCCCTAAAACTAACTTGAAATTAACAGTGCTGTTCTGGGGCGCAAGGACCGGTGAGGGTTTTCATTCATTTTGTCATTTAAGACTAGACGCAGATCTACACAAATACTTTGAGTCCAGTAGTATCATAAACAATAGGAATGGTGGCCAAACCTATAAAAACAAGACTTAAGTTGTAATATGTTTAATTTGCCCACAAATTTCGATATAATATGAAGACAAGACATTTTTATATGGACTGGTGGATGATCTGTTTGCAAGACCAAAAATCCAACATCACCACAAAAATTATACACGGTCAGGATATACAGCTACATTCAAATTTTACCAGTTTACAGCTTCTATATGTGTGCACATACAGGTGTGTTGGGGCTAGGCAAGTAACTTGCAGGTTGTGTGTTTGCATAAAGCCAATGTATTCTAAAGCCCAACACTGTTTCCCAGTGTCTGTGGCACTTGGTGATCTCCACTAATGAACAATTTGCTCAGTGAGGTGTGACCACAGGCACTGTGACGGAGCCATATAGTGATACAGCGAGTGAGAGAGAGTGAGGGAGTAATAGAGAGAGAGTGAGGGAGTAATAGAGAGAGAGGGAGGGAGGGAGAGTAAGAGGGAGGGAGACTGGAACTCAGTTCCACACAGATGAACCTACACGGGCTCAAAAAGACAGACTGTCCTGCAGAACACACACACACCGCTGGCTGTGGATTCTCCATCTTATTCCTTCCATCTGTAGGTAAGCAGCTGACATTTTTCCTCTGCCTGCACACAGACAGCGGCTTTACCTCTCTCTCTCTTTCTGTATGTGTATGTTAATCCACTGATCTTAGAATAAGGAGCGTGTGGTTCTGACTCCCATATGCAAGCTAGTACATGCTGAGATATGCACTGTAGTAGCAGCTATAGGCACTAAAACACAAACATACGGTGTTTTATCAAATATAGGCGACAGGGTTTGTTGCTGATGTAGCACGGATTAAAGTGTGTGTGTATATATATGTATATATACATATACACTCATGTATTAATATAAATAGCATTTATGAATACCTGAACTGGACAAGACATTTACCACACAAGGGTGAACAGATGACATGAATGTGTATGTGTGTGTGTGTGTGTGGTATGACTGCCCATTTGCATGTGAGTGTAGCACACTTCAGAACAGAACAGTGGCGTCCAAAAGGTGTTCAAATCCTGGGGATTAGCGCAGCGTCAGCTGTCACCATGGTAAACGCAGCCTGTGCTTGAGAGCGTCTTTTATAATCAGCAGGTTCGGTGCATTCATCAAACATAAGCATTAACCCAACACAATTAATGCTATTCTCAAGTATGTTTTATGTTTAATGAAGGGTCAAAGTAGGGTTGGAAAGAGAGAGAGTACACAAGGCATAAAAGATGCTGAGAGAATCACAATAATCTAAGGAAAAGGAAAAATGACATTTGGGTGAGATAAGTTTTCACAGAAGTTCAGAAGAGGCTATTAGCTGTACCGCTGCTCGTCTAAGTGGAACATTGGAATTGGAAAATTGCATTTTAAAAGAAAAAGATTGGCATAGGATCATATGATTCATGTGTAAATAGAATGACTCAGTATGTTGTCTGGCTGTAAAGCCAACAAGATATATGTAACCTGCTGGCACCCTGCCTGTGCCACTACTCATTTGGACTCATGACCAGGGGTCTGGTTATTCTTGGACATAAGCATAGCTCTCATTATGGTCAATAATATCCAGGGACTGCTGACTTTAGCTGGCTGCACCATTTCTCTCTATGGATGTCTTCCTCACAACTCAAAAATGTTGTCAACTGAGGAATTTATGAAATACAGTTATAAATGCTTATAATAAGAATTTCTTTTTTATTGGTATGTGCTTACGGTAAGTGGAAATGCAATTTTTCACTTAAGATTTTTAAATTTTGAGATGCTAATTTGTTTACTACCAGCACCTATAAAGCTTTATTAACTTCTGTTATGTTTTTTTAATCAGTACAACAAGTGTAAAAACAACACATTACAGTGCCATGCAAAATTAAGCACAAACTACACAAAGGGGAAATGTTTGCAAAAGAAATGTTACTGCATCCAATAATGAGCATCCTCTGAAAATATAATCCTGTAGAAATTACTGCACTCAAAAAAAAAAACAACCAAAAAAACCTGACAAGTGATAATGCATACAGTATTCGATTAATGCTTATGGAGACTCTGAACATACAATATATCTCCTTCATCCATAATCGTGTAAAATTAACTAATAAACTCGGCTGAAATATACTGGGTGGGATAAGTGTTTGGTATGATTATTACCATCTAATAAGAATAATTGAACTTGTATATATTGTTACATTCCTCTTTAATAAACTGCTGCAATGGTTTGCTATGGCCATAATAATAGTGTATGTAGGTTGTTAGTTGGATACTTGCTGGTTGTGTTAAGCTCTCTAACACTTTATAAAGCCCTTCAAACATGCTGCTTTATACATAATAACCCCCCGCTGGACTAAAGTGGCCAATCAGACTGAATCTGTACAGTATTGACATCCCTGTACAGTGTCAAAGTCAGGAAAGGACAACAGGAAAAAGCCATAAGCCGACTCCTTAGATGGGAGATAAAACCCATGATGTGAAAGAGCTGTAATTACAGTAAAAACAGAGGACACAACAGCACGTGGGAGGATGCAGATGTAAATACACACTCACAAGCAATTGCACCTACATATACCCATGGAAAAATACTAGAGTGAAAACTAGTGCTTGTGAATATGCACACCCACAAAACAGATTTAAATAAGAAAACAACAGTAGTCATTTGCAGGGAGGTAAATGAATCCATTACCTTGTACTGTGTGCTGTGCTTATAGCATGTTTATTAAATAACAACGCTGGCTACAGTCTCCATTAGTGTAGAGCTTCATTTCAGTCAGTCTGACACACATCACTAATTCAGTCGGTTTCCCTTTCACTGCTTTCTTTTTCTCGCTCGCTTTACTCTTCTTTTCTCTCTCTTATAATCACAGACAGGAAATGTGCTGCTATAAATGTGCTATCAGATTAATTTCAAATAGAGCATTTTCCACAGAGGAATATGGTACAGCAGTTTTAAGCTTGATGTACCCGAGTGAAGAGATTGAATGAGGGCTTCTCCTGAACACACATACATACAGGCTAAACTGAAGACCAGAGTCTGTTTACGGAGTTAATAATAGAGACTTGGGTGAGCATTAGGGAGACTGCCTCAGAGTTTACTCTCCTGGACTAAGAATGCCACAACTGAATGTCAATATGGTGGTTTTGTTTCTCTCTCGCCTCTTCTGCCCTTGTCTTTTGCTCTATTTGCTGCTTCTCCTTCTCTTTCACTATCTCTGCTCCATTGAGCACACTACAGAGCCAGGCCCCCGGTCTTTGTCAGGAGCAGTGAGACAAAACGCCAGTAAAATTATAAAGGAGACTTGTAAATTCTCCACAGACACTTTTTATAGTTCCTTTCCACTTGCTCTGCTGCCTGCCATACCAGACAATGCCTTCACTAACAGGCATGTGGACACAATACAGCACAAGTTGTTTTAGATTAATTAGTGCCAAGTAGTAAATCAATGACTAGTGATTGCTAGATTATCTTAAAATTGGTTTATTAATAAAACCGATTAGTGTATTTATGGACAATGTGTGACAGCTAAACGCTGGTTCTACATTAATTTACAGGTATAACAGTTAAAGCTGCTGTTATCAAAATGTAACTATATATAAATATGACTATATATAAATGAAAAAGACCTAAGATCTACTTGTGTTTCCATGTCAGCCATGACAGGATGAGTCAGCCACCAGCAAAATACTGTCTGATACATTACTTGAGCCAAAGCAAAGAAATTAAGAATGAAAAGCCACAGTGATTGGAACATAACAGGAAACTGGATTAGCCCCATACTGTGGTGCTTTTTCAAATCAGAAGGAAATACAGTAACATCACTCTGACTGAGGGATCCTACAACCACAAACGTACTGTAAAAACATGCAGACAGATAAAACAAAATACTGCAATATGAAGTGATCAGCACTTTGCTCTCTACACATCTTTCCTTGTACACATTAGGTGATACAAAATGAAAATGATACTGAAGCGAAATGTGAGAATGTTAGCTAAACTAAATTATACATATTCCCTGCTGTATAAATAATTGACCACATATGCATCAAATCAACTAAAAGGCAGTCAGGGATAGGAGACAATTTGCCCCCAGGCTTCAAATGTAGTTAAAATGTTTCTATGAAATAAACTTAAGCCTCAGCCAGATATTTTCCCTTTCTCTAAATGTTGTATTTAAACACTGCTCCTGCAAACCTTTAGAAATTGCTGACAAAATGTCTTCAAGAAGGCAATAAGGAATGCATATGTAGGTGTGTGTGTACCTGCCACAGAACAGTTGTACTAACATGCAGAGATCCAGCTCAACTACAGTACAACCGTATCTCTGCATGCATGAATTGTGACCATGTGTGGGTTGGCTGCTGCAAGCTTGTGCACACAAGCACCTAAAAACAACCTCACCTCACTGGGGAATGATTTTCTTACTGTTCAGATAAAATGCAGGGAGTGTGTGGGAAGCTTTATATTTGACCCCTAGTCTTCATATCTCAGCATTTGTTTCATCCCTCTACATGAGAACAGAAGAGCGAGATGGCAGATCAAGTCTTACTCAGTGCACAAGCCTGAGACTCACACGCTGGTAGCTGGTTGATCTTATGTCTGCATACAAAAGAAAATAGCTGGGAGTAGTGTGAGCTGGGATGGATTATGGAAAGTAGGCTGTAATAAACTTGTCAAACAGAAGCTGACAATGAAGAAAAAGTGTGAAATAACATAACAAGAATGAGAGAACAATAGAGAGACCGAGCAGAACATTGCGATAGAAGTTCTCTGTGGATGTTTGTTTCACTCCCACACAAACAGATCTTTCTCCCTCCACTTTAAAGAACAAGCAAATCTGAGATTGAAGGAGCAGGGAGGATCGAGGGGGGAGTTAAGTACAGCTAAAGCATACAGGTTGTTGCTCTCACAGAGGAAATTCCTTGGGTGCTCCAGTCTTTTCACTGAGGCAACAGGCTAGTGACTTTGAACCACTCTGCGCTCCACAAAAGCAAAAGAGGTCCCTCTATTCTTGTGCTGGCAACCCAGACCCTATTTCTTGACTATCCTCCTTTAACCAAACTCTCACATACATGATTTCTTGACTACTCCTCACTAAATAGGACACATATGGGTGCAAGTTCTTTCTCTAACTGAACAGGCCGTGGAGCTGCCCAGCCACAGCGACACAGCCCGCATGTGAGCGGCAGCATGAAATAAACACTGACCACCATATCTAACAGGACACCACTAACTGCCGGTGTCCATAATACTTAAGTTCCTGTTGTGACTTGTGAGGGGCGACCTGTGTTTAGCCTGCTAACTTCAGCAGTCACTTGTAATGGGTGGCATAGTTTCTAAACTTCATTAATTTAATGGTCTGGAAATACAGTATAACAGAAAAGCTGGTCACGTTTTGAAGAAATCAAGAATGAACTGATGCAAATTCTATCATGTTTTCTTGGACCAAACAGTGGATGAAAAGTATGTTACTCAATGTCCTGTGTGTTCTTGTCTTTTAGGCCATTTTTCAGAAACCCAGCAAAACCCACCTCAGGGAGCAGGAGACCGGAGAACAACATGTGACTGATCGTACGCCACTGTCGACAGCATGCTTCGCCTCCAACAGACCTTGATGTTGTGCTTTTGGTGTCTTTTACTCTTTCATAGAAAATCTGTGGCTGATGATGAGGCCCCCTGGGGACCGACACCGTCAAAAGAAAACACACCTGCAAATAAACCAAGCTGGTTTTGGCCCCCATCTCTGCTAACATTTCCTTCATTTTCGTTCCATATCCCTTTTTATGGGAGTTCTGACAGTGAGGACGAGGCTGCTGTGTTGACCACAGGTGCCAAAGGGCTGACAGAACCAATCAATCACTTACAAGATTCAGTTTCAGGGGAAGCGAGCAATTCTGAAGCTTCTGAACCACCCACCACTTTGACTCAGGGGCTCGTAACCAGCGTGACAACGATAAGAGCTGAATCACTTCCCAAGGGGGCATCCGATTCTTCACACAGCAGAATAACGCATAGCAACAATGATACTCTTGTTTCAGACTCCTACTCTTCTACAAGCAGTTTCATAACAAACACTCTGCTCACCGACAGTCCCACCAGCACAAATGCTCCTGGACAAAATGCAACGCATCCTCTTCTGCCACAGAGCTCTACACAAGCAGCCAGACCCAGCACTAGTGCCACTGTAAGACACCTCCCAGAGGAACACACCGATAGAGTCAAGGGTGGAGATTTTACACAAGGCATCTCTACAGTGATGGCACCAGAAACAACAGTTCCCACTGCCTTGACATGGGCAGCAGCCCAAACCACCACAACAAATCCAGGACTTGTGGAGACCACACTGACCAGCAGACACCCTCTGGGGCTTGTTACTCCCCTTGCATCCTCAGAAACCACAAGACCACAACATAGGGCTGTTAGTATTTCCCTTCACACTGTAGAGACCACAACTGGTGCTCACCCCACTCGGGGTGGGTCTGACTTGAGCTTCTCTAAGACCAGGCTGTGGCCTATCAAGGAACTGTCAGGGGTAATCACCACTGCCATGGAGATCGATCACAAACCTGTGCTGGAATCCATAACAAGCACAACTCAGAGCCAAGGGGTTAACCTCCAAATAGCAGCAGGTAAGCAAAGTTAAACAAATCAATAGTAGCTGGATTGACTCAATAGATGTGATCAATCATGTGCAGGCAGGTCTTAAGTGTTCAATAGATGGCTGTCAAAAGGCTGAGAACTGTTCGGCTTGATTGATGATATTTTTGACATGGTAAGTAGTCAAAGGTCTGACATTAGCATCCAGATCCTGGTGAACACTCATTAAGTCTGGAATCAGTGCTAACATGACTGGAAAGAGGAGTTAAGTGTTGAAATTCATGTTTATCTACATTGAATGTTAGAGTTTGTAACTGATTTTTTGATATAATTTGATATTACCCAGTGGTGGTTTCAATGCATGAACATTAGTTCAAACTACAGACTGAACAAATAAATCACCTCAAAATGGCACCCTGAGGAAATGGAAGCTGTGCCACTTAATCAAAAATGTTTGAAGTGTCTACCACAAAACTGTTATAGTTTGGAAGCTTGATTCTCTCTCAATTTGACCAAAGGAGAATAAAGCAAAACAATATGTTCTGCAGTGTGTTGTGGGCGGTTCAAAAGCTTTTTTCAGTGGTGTGTTGTTGTTTACTGGTCCCATTTTTACCTAAATTAATTTGTGCATTTCACAATTGCTACCAGAGACTAAATTGTACAACCCTATTTCAAAAGTTGCAACAATTTGTTTATATATGGGACTTTAAATAGCAATTCAGTTTCAACATTGCATAAATTATTCCTTAGAGAACAGAATAAACAGTAGGCTAATTAATAAAATGCTGCTTGGTGGAGGTTTTGTTCTACATACTGCATGAAGAGAGAAGGCTGAGCTAAAACAGTAGCTGTCCCAGGAGTTAGTACATTTCATGACACTCTGAGACAACACTGAAGCAATACCTCTTTCTCCTTGGCCCATCCCCCAACACTAGTGGCAGCCTGGTGTCTGTATTCTTAATGAGTCTTCAGAGGTAGACCATCCTCCAAGTACAGACACATTCATCATAAAGGGTCAAAGGTCAGAGCAGAAAATGATGAAAACAAAGAGTTGATTATTGTCAGCCAGAGAGGGTCAATGTCCAGCTGATGAAACCACTAGCGCTTGGTGGATAGCAGTGTCCGAAATATCCACTTAGCATGTGTACAGCAGGACATAATGATATTCTGCTTGTGCATATATCGATTAGCTTCTATATTTTAATGCTGCCATCACTACCTGTGCAATAACATTTTGAAAAATTTGAAATTTATATAAATTTAGTCCCAGCAAATGATATTTAATATTCTTATTTCCTCTTTAATAATTATCTATTTGTAAAAATACAATATCCCTACTGTCAAAATGCTATTTTGCTCATGTTTTTTTGTTTGTTAATTTAACTATTTTACAATATTAAAATCACCTTTTCAGCTCCAGTTGACACTTTTTATGTTGTTTCCCAAACATCCAAATTCCTCTTGGATCACACTGGCTCTTTACACATGTCGCCCAACCAAAAGCTTCACAACAGCAACTAAATGGACCTTGACATTGTTTTGGGCTTCTGTTTTGGATACTTAGGGAGTAATGTCTTCTGTACAAAATGAACTTCAACAATTATTTAGTGATAAGGCTGAGTGCTGGTAGCGTAAATGCTGTTTTACATGTGCAGCACACACAGTACAGCCATTCCAGATGTTTGAATTCCCACACTGCTTTACACTACCTGCACGAACGGTGCTGGATGTTATATTTTGTCTCTGGTGCCCAGTGCTATGTCTGCACTTGTTTTCAGTTGTGCACTGTGGCTTGGCACGTGAGGGCTGCTGTGGCTGTATAACATTATTCCAAGCGCACACTCAGCGAAACCGCCACCTCCCCTGTGGGACCATCCTCTCGCCGGTCGCTGTTTATATATGCTGAACATGCCTGGTGTCATTTAGTCTTCTCCACCCCTCCCTCCCTTCCTGCTCCCCTCCTCCTTTTGTAGTGATTTCGCCTCTGTACAAACACAAATCCCTGTCAATTTTTCCACAGACAGACATGTCAGTTATGGTTGCTGTGAGGGGTGGAAATGTCTTAGCAGGTCGAGAGAAGCTTGTGGTTATCAAAAAATGATGGAAAACCAGCAGAATGGTCTGTTTTCTGCAGTACTGCATTAGAATCTTGCAGCATTTAAATGACTACACCTTGTGAAAGGACACAGGAGGAGACTAACATGAACATGAAAGCGTGACACCCCCGCATTATCATACACTATCCTGATGTGAATATGTGTGCTGTAATATATTTTAAAGATACACACAGTGACTTATTTCCCAGCTGGATTTGTTGAACATCTTCACCATGCAAGTGTGTGTGTTTTCATTAAGAAAGAATCCATATAGTGTTGCCCTTGAGGAGGCCATCGGGTACATAAAGAACAAAAAAGCCCTGCATCTGTGTCAGATCTACTACAAAGGGGCAAACCAACATCTGATATCAAGGGCAAATATGAGAAGACGAAGCAAAAAAGGAGGGTAAAAAGGAACTGAGGACTGAGGCTGATGAGATGTGGGGGTTGAAAATGTACAGTAGGCTTTCTAAAGCTGTAAATTTTCTTCCACAGAGCTCTCCTTGATCCTGCACTTCCATTTCCTCCTGACACCTTTTCCATTACTTTCTGCCATACTTTCTGTGTTAGGGTCCCCAGCACACATTACTACCTGCAAGGATTTATTCTCTTTGATCTGAAGCCAAACAGCCAAAGTGTGTCCATTAATGGATAAACTGATTAAAACGATGGAATTACACATAAAGCATGTGACATATATATCTGATGCCCCTGTATCCAAATGATATAAAAGAAATTGCTTTAATGAAAACAGAGACCACTGTGTTATCTTCCCATAATGACTCCTTTAACTAGAGTCTATGAATTAAAAAAAAAAAACGTGACTGTTTAAGGATCTGACTCACAGCATTCTGGTTGAATGAACCTCAGACTGATCCAAATATTACTAAAAACACTATGGATTATTCCTCACCTTTATTCGTTTTAAGAGTGTAATGGCGTTAAAAAATGTTGTGAATCCCTTAGTAACCATCTTCAGTTTAGCAACAACATGATGTGATTTTGTGCAAGCATATCAATAAAAAATCTAATTGAATTTTCCCAGTCTTAATATCCCATTTTTATGCATCTGATTATGAGCATTCAACTCTCTGCGGCACTGCTATCCAACCCATTCCTATTATTTCTTATCACCCTAAGCTCAGTGTGTTTGTTACAAACCCACGCATGTATTCTCTCACCAGCTCGCTCAGGGCTTACAGTATGTAGCTACAACAGAGTGTAATGAAGAGCAACATCATCTTGTGTTCATTATTCCTGGAAGCTGAAGCTAATGAGGAATGTCTGAAACACTAGTGGAAAACTACTACACCAAAATTTAGCTTAGGCTAGCTCCCAGGATCTACAACTGAGAATGGCTCTACAGCATAAAAAACATAGATCAAGGTGATTAAGACCAAAGGTAATTAATTATGTATGTGTTAATTAGGAACACAGCAAAAATGATGATTTTACACTAATGTGGAAGGTTGAGCTGTTCAATAAGTCAAATGACAATAGTCCACTCAGCTAATGCCTCCCTCTCTCATCCCTTTTTGCTCTTATTTTGCTGCATCAGCAGTAGTCTGTAAATAGCTGGTCATCAGTACCTTTGCTTGTGATGTGCTAAAGACATGGGTTCTTCTGTTTGTATGTGAGCGAGTGAGTGACTGCATTTGTTCACTGTCCCTAGCTGATCTTGTTAGATGCAACACTGCAGGCACGTTAATGTGTCTGTACTAAGACGCTACAGTGATCTCACTGTGGTGGAAGTGTCTCCTTCCAATTTACTCGACACGCTCAGCAAACAGCTTCATAATTACGATACACTCTTAAAACAAAAAAGTTGAGACAAAAAAGTTCAAGGTACTTGAGTTTTGAGTTCTTAGATCAAATCCACCAGATAATTTCACAATAAATTCTCATATGCTTTTACATTTTGGAAATACTTTCTCATTTGAGTTGCATATGTCTACAGTATCTTCAAGTCTTACTTGAAATGCCCTAATAAAAGGTGTATTCAAACCACTTCACTTTAAATATTTCAATGCTGTAAATTCAGTGCCACCTAAATGTTAATATTAAGTACACAGCAGTGGTTACAGCAGTGGTTAGCTGAGATACAAACTCCATTACTTCCTTTGGCTGAGACAGACCTCCAGCTGTGTGGAGGCCAACAGTACAATAACTGATGAACAGATTTTACCTTGGAGACTTTTAGAGCTCACAATCAACCTGAGCCTGCATGACCTAGATTATAAGATAGTAGGCTGCAGTGCAACTCATTATTCCTCCCACAAGCCTTATGTACCTGGTATCTGTCGCTTCTTCACAGAGTTAGCTCATCAGCGTTTATAAATTGGTTCTGGTCCAGTTAAAACTGTGCCATGTTGTACTAGAAGACATCAGAATCCTGTGCAGAAGGCTGACTATACAAGCACATTTTGAGTATATCAAAGGGAAAAGAGAATGATGTGGCTCTGTCATGTAGTCATTATTTAGTAATTCTCTCTGTCTCTTGTTTCTCTTTGTGAAATGATGCTTTGCCTTGTTTACTTCCACTTTGTAGCACTAAGACAGATGATTGAACAAGAAGTCTGGATTTGTGACAGACCAGGATGGACACACCCATGCACACACACACACAAACTCCAGGATGTCAATGTAATTAGACTACAAAGGGCCAGACCACTGTGCTATGGATGACTGGCTACAACTAAGTGGATAACAGGCTGATCCATTTGACAGAACTGGGTTAAGAAATATCGTCCTTCCATTTTCTGCAGTGCGGGGTCTCAGATGTTCTGAGAGCAGAGAAGATGGGTTAAACTCCAGATTTGCTAATCTGTTTTTTTTTCCAGGCTACTTTGAGCTCTACAGTGTTGTGTACTTTAAACTGTATTCATCGGGTTAAACTGCATATGTCTTCCTAGAGCTGCCAGAAAAAGATGATAAGGAGGATGAGGAGGATGAGGAGGCTGAGGAAAGTGTGGTTCCTTCAGCTGCAGATGGGAATGGTGACACAAGGTTGTCAGACATTTCCACGCCATCAGCTAAGCTGCTAACAACATCCCAGCCACAGAGCATAGGTAAGCAACACAACCCTTTAGATGTAAGTACACACTGTAGCTTACTTCCCATCCATTTTTATCATGTGTTTGCACTGCCATACTGTAACAAGGACAACTAAAAGAACGGCACGCCGTTGATTTCAAAAGCCACCCTTTAGCTGTCTGTAACTCTGACAGAAGACTGGAAGAAACAGTTACCCTGCATCTTTTGCCCGAAGCTATGAGTGTCCTGAGATGACTTTTGTTGTGATTTGGCACTATACAAATAAAACTGAATTGACCTGAAATTGAATCATTGCTTCCAAAGGGAGGAGGAAACTGCTGATTCAAGTTGTGATTCTGTAGAAGACCAGAGAACATACAATAAGAGACAGGGAACAATGCCCACGTGTTAAACAAACATTTCTCTGTACTCAGATAAATAAACACTGATCTGTTCACAGTAGCAGTCTGGAGTATTGACTGTGTTGACCAATGACAGCAAAGTGCTTTACAATTAAGAGTTTCTGCACGTGGCACTTTCAGAAAACTAAGTATTATTATTTATTAAAAGCAGCGTAACCACTGGCTCTCTGTTTTAATGTACATCTTCATTTGAGGTATAAAGGTTGTTCTATTGATAAAAGCAAAATGCATCAAAATGCATTGGAAACAAATAATAATAATAATAATAATGTATTATGCCTGTACTTGAAGCATGTGATTTAGACATTTACTGAAGTAGCAGAAAAAAACCAGTAGACCAAAACACATCTGTGTGGAGCAAAAAGGAGACGGCACCATTCTCCAAGTTAACACATGAAACAAAGCGAAAAGCAATACAGGTATTTCCTTGTTTTCTACATTAATTTCCACCATTTGAGTTGCATAGGTTTGATTGGTCCTCCCTTAATGAAGTCATGTGATTGTTCCCTGTAGTTTAATGGCACCCAACTGGGAAAATAGCACCACCAGCTGTTTATTTTGATGAACTCCTAATGTTCTAACATCATAATGGTAGAACATGAAAACACACTAATTTGCATTTTCTCAAAATTCGGTTAGAGTTTGCACTACACTTGAAGACCTGGCTATTATCAACAAGTCTCATGAAAACATACAAAACCAACAATATTAGCATCTCTCCATATTTCTGACCTACAGCGTCCTGTCTATAGCTCAGTCTTGAGCTTACTGCATTTGTTGACAATAAGAAAATATAGAATGTCACCAGATTTATTCTTTAAGATTAACCAATAAGATATCTAATCCCATTGTAAAAACTAATATATTTATTTATACATGCATTAGTCTATTAGATAGCATATGGCCTGTTGCTCCACCATCGTTAAGCTGATTTCTGGTAAGATATGTTTGTCAAAACATCCACATTTGTCCCAGTTCACAGGAGCAGATGTAACCCACATTGTCTCGCCCAGAATAGCAGATGTTGTCAAAAATAGATCTGTCAGATGTTCCACTTGCCAATGATGGGACACTATGGTGCCATCTAGTTTGATGTGTCATGACTGAGGGAGTGAAACAATGATGTTACTAGTTTGCTGCATGTACACAGACTTACAGTTATGATACAAGTTCTCACACTAGGTGCTCTTGTCCAAATGTTTACTGTAGGAAGCAGATTAAACACACACATCTTCTCCTAATCAATATACAGCGCATGATCCAACTGCTCACTAAACTCACTGAGCTCTCACTATATTGCTTTTTCTGAAGTGAGCCAAATTGAAAAAGAAGGCAATCAGATGAAAACAACATGGAACTCTCCAGGTAATGATGCAGAATCAACATGCAGCCTTTCAAAGATGAGTGTGGGGTGTTTGCCGCTGTAACCTTCACCTTTATTACAGCAGCTGACGGTTAAGGTGCCTGAGGTGACACCTGTCAAGATTTACACTCAAAATAAGACAGAGCCCCTGAGCAATAATACAATAATGTTTCTACTGAGACTAAAATGAAACTACTCCTGAGGGGAAATGATCTATGAAACGAACTGTCTAGTGTGGGTTTGTTTCATTTTTAGAAGTTTACTGTTCATTTATCTTTTATAAAGCCTACATGTTATCAGTCTGTATTAATATGTGGCTGAATGGTCTTAAGGCAGCTCTGGGGTCTTAAATTCTCTTGATTTATATTGAACTACACACCTAATAGTCACAGTAACAGTCACCTATTAGCTGCAGGCATCATAACAAATGGGCTGAATGTAGAATATTATCATTTTGATCAAATGAAACCTTGATGTACAATTTTTAGGCTATTGATGACAAATCTGGCTGCTCTTTTATGTTTCCCTTAAGATGAATTGTAACATTACCTTTTCATCTAGTGACTTTATAAGGTTAGTTTTATTTTCATGCACCTTTGGTTTGGCTAAATACTTGTAAAACTGTACTGTTGTAAGTGCTAATGTTAGCATGCTAAAACACTAAAGCAAAATGGTGAATGAGATTAAATTTTAGAAGTTTTATTAGTTAAAATGACCTCTCAGTTATTGTCCACAGAGGGCTTTGCTTTCAGTATGTGTCTGTCTACTGTTGATGTGTGAGCTTGTGAGACTGTTCCCACCGGAATGTGTCAGATGACCGAACACTGTGCAGTGAAACTCTGATCCATCCTTGTACTGTAGCCACCACCACATACCAAACCCTGTCCAGACCACTGAGCCAGCCCGGCAGCTCAGATGTGACACTTCTCAACATGAGCAAGGCAACAAAACATGGCACTCGGTCAATACCATCACCGACTCAATGGCTTCCAAGTCATCGCCCCAGAAAGTAAAACAAATGGACAGACAAGTCTGGCATAACAGTACAGAACCCCACCTACTTTATCAGTGGTCCCCACAGTCAAAATGCCTGCAGTTGTGTTTGTTTTACACTGCAGCCGCAGTTCGCACACAGCTATTGTCTGATTTGATAGGATGATTTAGTGTATTTAGTGACTCATTGAAAGTTCCTGACTTCTCATCCTGTCACAATCTGGATTTCTGAAATGTGTTGTTTACCAAATACCTGCAAAACAAGGACTTCCCATCACCCACAGCTGTACTTTGCATTTAGTGCAATTAGCAAATATTTGCATACATGTTTAACTAAGATGTTAACCATGCCCGCTTAACATACAGTATGTAACATATACACTTGCTTAAAATGCATAAGGGGGGCATCTTGACAGCAAGTTTTACTTTTTGTTATTAAAGATTCTTTAATTTATAAAATAAATCTGCACTAAATCAAAGCCTCTCAAAAACCAGTGGATCCTTGTTTTCCCTGCTGTTGAGGATGAGATTAAGCTTCAAAAGAAAGCTGAAAGCTGCATCAAGCTAGACTAAAAGACCCACAAACAGCTGGCAGTGGGATCATATTTCCTTGAGCTTGACATTTTCATCACACCCTGGGACTGTGATTCAGCTATGGGGTGAGGAAGAATGATAAAGACGTCACTGACAACAGAGAGACAGCAGGAAGTGCTAAAGCCTATGCAAAAGCACTTGTGAAAATCCTCTGCCACTTATGGACATCTGTGTCAGAATAAAGCATGACTTTGTTCAACAGCAGTAATGAGCACAGTAAGTGTCAACAGCGCAGACACGTGCAAATACGCAAATGCACACCGCCAGAATAAACACACAGACACCATTTGTACAGGAAGAACTTTAACATTAATCCAAGTGAAAGGACTTCAGGCTGTGTGCAGCATCATCAAAGCAATGTTAGAGGACAAAAAGCAGACACACACTGTCAACCATTTAATTCTCCCCCTGGCACTGCAGAGCTCCACGTTAAACATAATGGAAGCAGCAGCTGCCCTACACTGGATCTATAAAACTGAAAGAATCAGAATCAGAATTAGCTTTATTGGCCAGGTGCGTTGGACACAAGGAATTTGACTCTGGTACAGCGGCTCTCAATGTTCATGTACATATATACAATATACCAACATAAGGCTGTGTAGTATAACAAAATAAACAGTGTAAACAAGCAATAAACAATGCAAACATTAGGAAGCAAGATAAAAATAGAATAAAAATGGAGTACTTAAACATAGAGACCTGTACACATCTGTATAATCTGTACAATGTGTATTTACTGGTATTGCACTGAGGGTTATTGTCCAGTCATACTGTCCTGGCTTAAGCGTTCATCAGAGTGATGGCCTGGGAGAAGAAACTGTCCCTGTGCCTGGTTCTCTTAGTGCACGGTGACCTGTAACGCCGTCCAGAGCGGAGGAGTTCAAACAGATTGTGTCCAGGGTGTGAGGGGTCTGCAGAGAAGAGGCAAAAAGCAGCAGTAGCAGAAAATATGAAGCACGGGAAGAGACTTGCAAAATCCAGGACAATCAGAGAATAGTGACAAAACTGTCCCAGTTTAAAAATAACTAACCCACCTATGGGAGTTTCCCCTTTTTGAAGGCGGGTGTTGAAGAGAAATCATAAATAAAAGAGCAAATTAGGAGAGCAGGACAGGGTGGGAATAGAATACGACCTATAAAAGAACCTTAAAAGACAGATGAGAAAGACTTAAAACAGAAATACTCAACCACATGAGTTCCACTTTTAGGTTTACTTAGGAAACAAATAAGACATTTTAGATGCAAAGATTTAGGGCTTTGCAGTGCTGATATCTGCACATTTAACTTCATAAGCTAGCTCATAATGTATTCCCCAGACATCACGAAGATGTTTTTAAATCCCCCTTTCCCAGTTTTACACAACAGTGACAATGTGTTAGCTATTTTCAGCCACGTTTCACATGTAAAATAAGCCATTCAGCCACGTTTCACATGTAAAATAAGCCACTAATCTCACTCTAAAATGACTGCAAAATATCTCTATTAATGTACATTAGGCCCATGTAATTTACTGGGCTATCGGTTTATCTTGTTCATGTATCCCTGTTAATTTGGCCCATTAAAAAACCTGGCTCTTTATGGGGGAGAGATTGTCCTAAATAAGTCTGCAGCAAAATGACTGATGAACCTTTGCGCATGCAAATGACAGAGATGGAATTAGAAGCTACTTCTCTTCCGCTGCATGACTTTTTTTTCTTAATTTATTTGTATTTATTTTTAAGATGCCATTATTAAGCTAAAGGTCTTAATATGTTCTTTTCTGTGGTGAAAAGACAGCAGGCACGTGGTGACGGTTATGTTTTATGGAAAAGAACAAACTCTATGATGCGAAGCTCAGTGATGTGGAGACATCCTTTGTCTATTTGCCCACATGTGTATGAAGTAACTTATGCTATGTCCTATTCAATCATCCCCCAGTAAGTGAATAAACATGTACAGTTCAGACGAGCTTTGCAGGCGTCTCAGTAAAGTTCACACCAAAAAACGTATAAACAGTTACTCCTTAATTTCCAAAGCTAAACCAATTAGAACCATTTTCTTCACAGCACTAAAACATGTCTAATACAATAATTAACTGTACTGTCATGGTAACTAAAAATGACTCTTGTAATGAAGAGAAACTTGCTCTGAGGTTCTGAATGGGTTGATTTCTCTCTCTCTCTAACACACACACACTTCCTCTTTTGGACCCAGCTCAGTTTGAAGGTGCCTTCTTACAAGCTTTTAAACAGAATTAGGGCATCAAGAGGAAATCACTCTTTCACCATCCTGGACATGAGCCAGTTTTTATTTATTTATTATTCTTATTGTTATTTTAAACTTGGATAGTTTGGACTTTGATTAAATGATTCTGTACTTTCTCGTGAATGGACTGTTAGTAAACTTTTAAGTAAGGATACGCGTTTACAGCTATTGCCATGTCTATTTTTTTTTCTCATTCTCTTCCTTTTCAGTTACTTATTCAAAGCTTGTTTATCCTACTAGCTGTTCCAAGAGAATTTAATCAAATTGACACCATACTTTCTTTCCAGGCATTCTCCCAGAAACTCTGAATATTCCTCTGTACACTGAAGACTGGATATTTGAACCGGTAGACAGTGACACCACCTTTCTTCCAGACTGCAATAAAGAACGCTCCAGGATCTGCAACCTCTCAGATATCTGGGATTCCACAACACCCTCAGATGTAAAACCCCTACAAAACATCACTGCCACGAACCAGTCAATCAACCCCTTCCTGATCCCAGCTCCACCCATGCTGGTGCCCCTGTACACCGACTGGAACAGTGCCATGGCAGCCTGGGGCCTGGCCTGGGAGGCACATGTTTATGGTGCTGGTTGTGTCTTTGCGATGTTAACACTAGCCTCTGCGCTCAATTTGCTCTGCTTGCCACTGCGGTGCCCATCTGGATGTGGCTACTTCGCCCTGGTCAGCCTCTTCCTCCTAGCTGCCGGCAGTACCAGATCCTTCTCCCTCCTGTACGATGCCTACGGTCACCAGGATCGCTTACCCTCCACAGAAGCCTCACTTATGCTCTATGAAGCCCCATTTCCCTGTTTGACTGCAGCTTTTGGTCTGGTTTTCCTGCTCCTCTCCATGCGCTCAAGAATGCAGCTCTCCTACTCAGCCTTCCAGAGACCCTGTTTCCTGGCCTGCTTGGTTGTCCTGCATTTTGCGGCTGCATTCGGTCCGGTGACATTACTGAAGTTCTACCCACAAAAGCCTTCCCTTTGCCTCTTTCTGTCACTCATCTCCCGTGGAGCCTTTGTCACACTAGCCACATTTCTGTCTGCTGCCTATTTTGTTTTCTACATATATGTTAGGGCAGACTCCAAGCACATCTACCACCTGAACAACACGTCCCCCACACCTGCTGAGCGCTACAATCGCTGCCCCTTTGCTGAGAGCCGGGACTGGGACCGTGCAGCTGTAACAGTTTGTCTTTCAGCACTGTTTTCTTTGGCATGTGCAGGACTGCAGCTGTATGCAATGCTGAATGCTATGGGTGTTGCAGGTGGAGAGGAGGTCTTCCACCCCTGGCCCTGGTGGGCTTTTCAGTTTAGTTGCAGGCTGTGTGAGCTCGGGGTTTGTCTCACCTTAGCCTTGGTGGTTGCACAGCCAGTCTACTGTTCTGACCACGTTCCAGCTGTAGGAAACTGCTGGACTGAACTGTTGGCATCCAAATCGTCCATCCTCCCTGGGAGCTACCAGTGGACCCTAAACCAGCAGGAAAAGCTTGCTATTGTGGATACAGTAGGGCTTGGGGAGACTGAGAGCCTTCCTCTTTACACTCTGATGGATGAGAGAATTGGAAGTAGTCTGAATGGCCTAGACTTGCTCTACCACAGCAATCGGGCATTGGCATACCGAGACCTGGACTTGGATATAGAGTTACAGAAGTCAGAAAAACCTGAGGACGGAGGACACAGAGAGCCATCGGGCGGATCCTCGTTTACCAGCGACTCCACTGCAGACCTGCGGCCACCTTCGCCCATCAACCTGCGTCGCAGCATAGATGAGGCACTCTTCAGTGAAGCCCTCTTTTCCATGAGCCTCTTTGGCCCTGCTAGGCCTATTCTCTGCAGTGACCTATCCATAAACCACCACTGTACACTTCCCAGCAACAGCCTCTGTGATCCTCTCTCATCTGACCCTGGCCTTTATCGGACTTCTTCCTGTGTGGAGATGGCCATGCAGCCACAGCCCCCTGCTAACCAATGTCAAGGAGAAACTGTTGGAGGTGCTCCATTTCCTTCCCTGCCCTCCTCCTCCAGTTGTTCATCTCCTGAACGCTGGAGGGACACTTCTTCCTCTTCCTCACTGGTCCTCTGCATGAGCCCAGACAAATGCGCTCAACAACTTCTCCAGCAAGGGGACATGGACCATGTGGGACCCTGTGGCCACCAGACCAATGCTGACCCACAAAGGCACTATCAAACACTGGGTGCAGCCTCACAGGAGAGCCTGGACCTAGACATGTCATCTGAAGCAGATCGATCTGTACAGGAAGAGTTCATTAGTGTTTGCAGACAAATCGATGCTGTGAGCATCTGCAGCGAGACTATTGACTTATAAAAGGACAGTCAAGTCAAACAAGGGTTACAGTGAGGACTTGTTGCAAAGGGTGTCTGCTTTTTTGCAGCCTATTTATAGTGCATGGACGTTTTTGCATACACTATAAAAGACATAGCTGCCAAAATTCAATTTTTGAAAGATTGATAAGCTTTATGTGCTTGTTAGTCATCGTCGCTGAGGGTCTAAGTGCCAAGAATGTCAAAAGCCAAAAGGTAATTTTCAACTTCTACATGTTTGATAAAGGCTTATGAGGTCTGACTCAGTGAGAAGAACAGTAACATTTTACTAAGAGGAGATAATGAATTTATTTTTATAAATGTTTTTGCTTTCCAACATTCCAACATAGTTAGTGACTGAATAAATTATATACTACTGAAGTTATACACTCAGATTCTGCAGAATATCATTGTCATTAAATCTCACATTGAATAAATGGGAATTAGAATTAAGTTTATCATAACACAAGTGCTACGCTTCTTAATGGCAGTTATGGTGCAGCGCTGCCCTCTACTGATAAAACGCACACAATGTTACCTCATCCCTCTAAATTTACCCCCAGTGGACTGGAGGACTTCAATAAGCATCTTCTATGACTGGCTTACTAATTTATGTGCAATCAACATTGCTCAACACCTTTTAATAAAGTTTGCTTTTTAACATCTGGCTTCTTTTACTCAAAGTCTATGACAATATTGTGCAATATGGGGTCATGTTAATTAAGACACACAGACATTTTGATTTCTTTATTTTTTTTTCCATAGTGAAGAGCAAAAGTAACTTTCCTCTGTTTTACTGTAAACATTTTCTGAACAGATTTTCTCAAAAATCCCTAATTTATTGAATACCAAGTCGTTTCTGTCCATCTAAACAGTCCTTCTTTACTGTACGGTTGTTGGACAGAGAAGCTACAAGTATGTTCTGCTAACTGTAGCTAAAATCATAAAAAAGGTAAACTTATTGTCACTCAGCTTTTTAGATGGACTAACAGGGCTTAGTTCTGACAAAATATTTTAAAAACCTGAATTCCCTCTTGAGGTGGGAGACTGAAAACAAGCAACAGATAATTTCATCTGAATACAGGTATACTTCTTCATACGAATGTGTGAATGTAGATTTTCTCACGGTCTATAACATCTGCAAAAGGTCTGTTAATTGAAACCCTGTGCAGGGTAAATTAGCACACTGGAGACAGCAACTCAACTCTTACAACACAGAACATTTAAAAAAAAGAAATCTGGCAAACGGGCCATCCATATGAAAATGACAGAAAAGCCTACTGCTACACAATCGGAATGATAAACACGATGACGACACTGTTTCAAAGTATGAAAAAGAGACGACAGTGATGCATTACCACGATCCCGTTTCAGGGTACGTGTCTGGTCAAAAGAAACAGAAGTAAACCCATCGCAGAGAACCTACGCAACAGTGAGCACAGAAATGAACTAGTGGCAAGCCAAGAAGTGACTCCTGCCCATTTTGGTTCTGAAGTTACAACAGAAGAGTACAAGAGGAAGTGTAAATACATTTGGCAGTATGTATGTAATTATAATAAAGCAGAATATAAATATAGCCGTGTTTGGCTTAGTGAAAAAAACAAAACAAAACATGCATATCAAAACCCAATCATGTTCAATTCAAAGCCACAAAGACTATACACGTTTAATAAAGTTCATCTAAAAAGTATCAAATTATGGTTCTTGACTGATCAATTTTTTTCTTCTACCTGATCTTCAGCTATTGGTCCCTTCTATGAACATATGAACACTGAGACGGGACCCTGATGATGTGGCCCAATATGTCTCAAGGTCTACTCATTTCCACTGGCAGATACCAAGACCACAGAATAACTGCCTTGAGCGATACAGTATCTCATCACCTCAGAATCCACTATACACTGGGTGTATGCGCTGAAATATAAGCAGCAACTCTTCATCAAGTAACTCATACCTGCGATAAATTAAAATGCAAAAATAATAAGTTTCCCCATCAAAGACCTTTGCATATAGAGACAAAAGTGTGTAGTCTTGTTTTCTGCACAAGTACTAGTGTGATTAAAAGCTGGGATGTGTGAGGCTTCTGACAGGCAGCTTGCTGGTAAACATGGATCCCACAGTAAGGTGGGGGGGGGGAAACCACCTTCACTTCCCAACACACATTCAGACACACACCTCATTGTCTCACTGCTAACATCACACACAAACACACGGGATCCAGCTGCACACTCAAGATACAGGTGTGTATGTCATTCCAAACCCTGATGCGCCACTTATTGAGTGCAAGATCCCAGGTGTTCCGAGAGTCGGGTGTCAGTTTGAAGAGTCTCACTTTGCTACGGTGCCTCTTTCCTCCCCAACACAAGCTGGTTTGGATCAGAGAGAAAGCAAGAGTGGAACAATGCTTGGAGGGCAGAGAGGGTATAGTGGGGTGGTGTGTATTTTAACAGCGGTGGCGGTTTAAGTTTTGGTCACTGTTCGATCGGGTATGTTACGTGCACCGCTGATCAGAGCTCCATCCCCCTGTTCAGTAAAGCCGCTTCTCGTAACTGTGGAGGCCAAGAAATATTGGAGAAAATCAGTGTTTGCTCTAAAATAAATCATTTTTGCTGCTAAGGGCTTTAACTCCTATTCACATGCCTGAAAAACTGCATCCATCTGTTATGTCATTTTCACTTTACTGTCAGCAAGATTAGTATAGTAAAGAACACAGCTACAAGCAACTTTTGGGAACTACAGAGCAGGTTTATTTTACATTGCAGCATCTGCTCATGTCAGCTCCTAACAGGAAGTATAGTTATAATGGATACAAGCTGTTTCTAATGATGCAATCGTGCGAGAGTCAAAGAAGAGTTTCTATTCCTGCTTCTGGGTAGATGATATACAGATGTTTTTGTACTTACGAGTGAAGTCCATGAACGCCTCCTTCAACCTGTGCAGACATGGTCCGCTTCTCAAACTTCAGCTCTCCGGAGTACATCATGGAACTGAGAACAATAGAAGCATTGTGAATGTTGTGAAATACAGTGCACGTAAACATTAATATCCCTATTATAACCAGTAATCCATGCAAAACAACTCACCGGAGGACAGACAGACTCTTTGCCCCAATGTCCTGGCAGCCATGTTGGATACCAGCTATCAGGTATGGTACAAACTTGTGAATGGAGCCCTTGTCCTGGACTGAGCCAGACACACCCTGGGCTACCTTCACCTTGTCACCCTCGCTGCATTAAAAGACATCACCCAATTAATACTCATACAATAACAAAACAAACAAACAAACCCACAACAACATTGTACCAGCTTCACTTGGACTTAGCTTTCATGACTTATGACCTCCAACATACCTATAGTAGCGTTTCTGGCTGCTGGTATTCTTCTCCATTGCATCTAGTGAGCCCATACCACGATACTTTTTCAGCCGCACACCATCTGAGAAGAAGTACTCTCCTGGAGCCTCAGTGGTTGCTGCTAGCAACGAGCCCATCATAACTGGAGTGGGAGAGAACCATGTCTATGTTTTAATATTACCCAAGTGTAACCCAAGCTAAATGAAATATGAAGAATTAGATGAGGTCTTTTCCTCCACAATCTAACAGTTCTGTGTCACAATATTTAAAATCTCACCAGTCGATGCTCCGAGTGACAGAGCTTTCACCACATGGCCCACAGTCTGAATGCCACCGTCGGCAATCACTGGCACGCCGAAACGCCTGGCATACTCTGCTACCTTGTACACCGAGGTCCCCTGGGGCCGCCCACATGCCATGACTAGAAGGAAGAAAGCATGTTGAACATGACTGCCATGGAAAAAATAAAATAATAATAAATCACACAATATGCTCTGGTGATGTAGAAGAGAAGAAGTTGGGACGAGAACAAATCAGCTGCTGGTAACATACATTAGGTTCATGTCCTCTGTTACAACATGTCTCCTCTGTTCTCATTGGCAAGCCCAATCTGAACATGAGGCCGGTCCCCATGGCAACCCAGGATGGGGCCTCAGCAGATCACCATGACAACTAGGAGTGGTCTCTGGGTATTTGTTACCATTAGTAACTAACAGCCTTCCTTTCTTTAGCTCTTAAAAGAGATAAAGAACAGGTATAGCAAGGATGAATGTGCCACAGCTATAGATTCAGGCACTTTGTTACCAATATGTTTACCACTGTATTCATATCCACAACTAGCACTTACTGTTAAGAAGGCTTGCAGTTCACACAGAATAAAATATAGCTGTCCTTAGTTTTACTGGACAGTGTGCAGGCCTCATGCAAGATACCAGGAGCCAATCAGCAGCTACATTAAAATAGTGCAATTCATGAACCATTTTTCTTAAAAGTTCTCCATCTTATTTGTTTTGAGCCACTAGAGGGTCTAGGTAAAATCCTGACCATGCTAGGCTGTTAATGTTACCAAAACAAACACAGTAGCTTTAGATACCAACACACGCAGAAGGAAGAACACCACTTCTGAACCAGAAAGTCCTTTGGCTGCTTTTAACACACCCCCTGCCAAAACACAAAACTGATGTTTGCCCTGCTTTTTGCTCTTTATTTGCTCTTTGTGGAAAAGATGCCACCTCTTCAGTCTGGCAGCCACTGTTTCAGACTTTTAGCTGCAGAGTGCTCCTCCATGGCTGGCTGCTTGAAAGGACTACTCTGAAAGACGCTTCTTATAACCTTGGCTTGGTTGCGGGGTACAGGGCACTAATTTATTAAGCACATTTTAAAAACTCAGCTTAGAAAATCTAGAACAACAACAACAACAAAAGGGCTCTAGGCAACAGAGTCATAGAGGGGGGGTAGGATAGTGGAGAGACAACATCCTGTCCCATTTACACTAGCTTTATCAGACAATGTGTCAAATCTGCATCTAATTAATCCACTTATGCTTTTCCAGTGTCTTGACAATTCCAAAGAGAAAATATGCTGCAAGTGTGTTCAGGCCATGGCATTATATAACAGGACTGAGTACCTTCCTGTGTGATGCAGATGGAGCCACAGCCCATGCCCACTCTTAGGGCGTCCACACCAGCATCGATCAGGTTCTTGGCCTGAGATGCTGTAACCACTGGAAAAGAAGAAAAAGAACGGTCAGAAAAGATGGACAAATATTTTACTACTATTATACGAACTCTTCCTGCAAAAAGGAATGTGTGCCATGTGCTTCTTTTGTCAAACTCACCATTTCCTCCCACCACTTGCAAATCTGTATACTTCTCTTTGATATAACTGATCATGTTGATTTGATACAGTGAGTTGCCTTGTGAAGAGTCCTAGAAACACCAAAACAGTCATTGTTGAAGTACAGCAGTCTTAATGCGTAATACAGAAGGAATGCAAACAATGTACTGTATACATTATAAACACATTTCATACAAACAGAACAAATAAAAATTCAGAACAGGTTGGCACCAGTGAAAAGATGTGGCTCAACCACAATTCAGGCATCACATACACCTACCAGTACAATGACATCCACTCCAGCCTGCACTAACAGGTCTAGCCTGTATTTATCATCGTCCCTGGTGCCGATGGCAGCGCCACACAGCAGCTGTTTGCGTGAGTCTTTAGAGGCCAGAGGATAGTCCCTGTTCTTTTTCAGATCTGTTCTAGCGATAATGGCCACCAGCTCGTCGTTATCATTAACAATGGGAAGCTTACCTGGTTACAGACAAAGTGGAAAAAGACAACCAAACAAAACAGGCTGTTGATTTACTCTTATGAAAGAGACAAGAAAATGATGCTTTTATGCAGGAACTTTTTATTCACCTTTTTTACTACGCTGCAAAATATCATTGGCTTCTTTCAGTGTAACACCAGCTGGAGCCACAACCAACTCCTCCCTCTTAGTCATAGCCTAAGAGTTAACCAGCACAATTTCAATGTAAAAATAATCAAATGAGTGAATCAAATGACTGATGGACAGAGTTTCTTATAAACACAAAATACACACCTCCTCCAGAGGTTTGTTATGGTCTTTCTCAGAAAGGAAGTCAATATCTCTGGAGGTGACGATGCCCACCAGTTTGCTGCCCATTTTGCCCGTCTCTGTGACAGGAATACCAGAGAAACCATGTCTTACTTTGGCCTCACACACATCCCCAACTGTGTGCTGTGGACTCATCACAACTGGGTCTGTGATAAAACCTTGCTCAAACCGCTGGAAACCAAGAGAAACCAAACCAAAATATAAATTATTAGCATGTTTTCATCCTCGTCATCTGTGCACAGCAGCAAAAGCAGAGCAGAAACCAAACACTACACAAACACAACCAGAAATGAACAGCAATATGCAAACACAATAAGATAACAGTAAAATTAACAAACACGCACACACCAAAACACAAAGAAAACAATTACCATAACCTATATAGGGACAAGATGGGAAATGGTTCGAAATTAATGACAACAAGGTACCAGTTTTTAACAAAATACTGAGACCATTTAACACAAAATACACTTAAGATTTAAATGTTAAAACTTTTCTTTTAATTCTCTGTACAATCAGAACCCAGGTTATGCTGGCCGCCAGGAGCTTCCCGAGAACCTTAAGATCAACTTCCGCTCTGTAGCTATGATGGTCCCGGACCGTCAGATCATCATTAGGGTAAAACTGGCCAGCTGTGGCTTTATAGACAACATGGAGCTGGCTCGCAAGTTCTTCACTCTTTACAAGCTGTGTGGGGAGCAGCTCTCCAAACAGGTAAAAAAAAAAAAAAAAAAAAAGTTTTGTACATATGAAATATTATCTTTGTTTACCTTAACCTTGCGGACCTCATTAGCTTGGAATTCTGGTGTGCAGTTGTGGTGAATGATGCCAATGCCTCCCATTAGCTACCCAAAGGAAAGATGTGGGAATTTTAGAATCATGGTGTTTCACAAAAACAAATAAGTCATGTTCTTTTACAATATTTAAGCAGTATCTTACCGCCATAGCAATTGCCATGGCTGACTCTGTGACAGTGTCCATGGGGGAGGAGATGAGAGGGGTCTTCAGTGTGATCTTCCTGGTCAGTGCTGATGTCAGATCCTGACAGACATATAGAAATGCTTGTTTAAGTGTCTTAATGTGTGAAGTTTTTTTCTTTGCTGTCATTTTATACATGCTCCACCAGGGGGCAGACTGAACTAGGGAGCTGTTTAGCCGTCTCCTGTTGAACCTTTGAGTAATTATTTTACACCGTCAGTGAAGGGTACAAGCTCACATAACAAAGGCCAATACATGATGACTTTTATAAAACCAATGTACATTACAAGAGCACCTTTAAAGTAACAATGTACATAATTTTAGCTTTGGTGTGTTAAGTCTTAATCTGTGGTACGAGATGTTTAGACAAAATAAAATCCACATCCTTCATTGTCCTTGCTCTCAGGGACAAAAACCTGATACCGTCTGGAAATGTGGAAAGAAGCTATACTACAGTATCTCCAGCAGTCAGAGTGGACTTTCACTTCTGATTCCCACAACAGCAAACACCAGACTTCTGTTATCTTCAGCTGGAAGAGTGAAAATAACATTCTTAGCACATGGGAAAACAAGCTAATGAGATCTGTGGTGTCCAAGCATTTACTCGTTATCGGCGACACACAAACTATAGCAGCTGCTCGTGTTTTTCCTCAGGGGTTCACGCTAAAGGCAAAAGAAATCACCTAACACCACTTCTCTACTTCAAGAGCACAACTGCACTAAACAGCTAAATTTAACAGAGAAATATCACAAGCCCAAAAAGAATTTCCCACAACAGCTCTATGCATCCTCTTCCTATTTCCAATAACTTTCCCAGTACAGGCGGACCTAAAATTATATTACAAGGTTCAGTCTGATCTGCTGAGTCACTGTGTGGACTTTTCAAAGCCGTGGCTGAAGCCAAAATGTGGAAGCATTTGTATTACAGTGGTCCCTCGCTATAACACGGTTCACCTTTCGCGGCCTCGAAGTTTCGCAGATTTTTTTTTTAAGTGCAATTTTGCATGCTTTTTGCATGCCGTGTCTCCTGTACAGTACAGAAATTAAATTAGTTAGTTCTAAAATCCATCATTATTATTTATAGGAAAACGTTTATACAGTATTTTTATTCATTTATATTTATTATTTTTCTACGAAGGTTTGAACTTTGAGAGTGTTTAAACAAGAGGGAAAAGTGTGAAAATGTTAATGCCTGTCTGAAAAAAAGTGTATAAAGTGTGTAGTGAGGGGTTTTACAGCCTTAAAAATAAAGCTGACTACTTCACGAATTTCGCCTATTGCGGGTTATTTTTAGAACGCAACTCCCACAATTAACGAGGGACCACTGTATTCAGGCTTAGTTTCCATTAAAAAAAAAAAAAAAAAATTAACCGAGGGGT